CAATCAATCAATCAATCAATCAATCAATCAATCAATCAATCAATCAATCAATCAATCAATCAATCAATCAATCAATCAATCAATCAATCAATCAAGAGTCCAAGAGTAAAAACATGGCATTGGAAGTGAGATTTTCCCACTTTAAAGGGAAAATCCCAAATTCAGTACCCAGTGAGTGATGTCTTGAAACATTTGCTGTGGTTTTTCATTCTGTATGCCAAAGTTTAAAATGTAGATTTGAAAATATACAGCATGGTTTATTTTAAACTGTTTATACATATTCTTTACTAGTATTATAATATAAAGGTTATACAATTTCCATAATTTATCCCAAAGACTCTAAATCTCTAAATGTTACTTTAAAATACATACTCTAGGTGTTAGAAAAATGTAAGAGTCATAGTGTGTATCATAGTGCTGGTGTTATATAAAGTGCTAGAGAAGGCATACAGAGCTTCATCTATGCATTTAAAATGTAATAAACCACATAGAACAATAGCAATGCCTGTAATAAACACTCTTGCTGAGTATTCTGACAACAAAATAAAAATAAATTGCAGTAACATTTCGCCATCGTGCAGGAAATAAGTCATGAGGTTTCCAAGGCACAGATACATGTGGTTCTGTATGTGCACAAACACAAATTAGTAGCAGGTCATAAATGTCAGAATGTGTTAGATAATTACTTGGAGCCAAGGATATATGACTGACTTCTTTGAATAGACTGTCGAAATTGTTTCTATATTTAACTCAGTGCCTCAAACGAAAGTCACATAAAAATTGAGATTTACTTCTCAGTTTGCAGTTTGTCTTTTGTAGGATGTGCTATACATACATGAGTTAATTCTACTTCCTGAAATGAGTAAAAATAAATGATTAAATGACTACTTAGATTTTTTAAAAACTTTGCACAGTATACATTCATCTTATAATTTATACATACCAGTGAAGATTAGGTGAGCATACTAACCTAATAAAAAAAAATGAGCCAACCGTTCCTGAGCAATATTTGTGTTTCCAGGACTATGCTTGAAGGAGCTTGTTGAGGAGCGGATGTGAGGGAGGCCAGTGAAAAGCTTAGGGATCAGGAGAGGGCTTGATATAAAGGCTGACAGCGACAAGCTGACACTCAGACCACTGGAGCTCTGCTCATTTTAAAGCACACTTCCTCAAGCAACTAACCAACGCTGATACAGCACGTGAGTAACTCCTGGCTTCTTGTACTCCTGTCTCTCTCTGCCTCTAGGTCTTTCTCGTTTGCCTTTCTCTTTGATGTTCTGTTTTCATCTACTCACATTTGTGCACAGACCTGTCTTGCTGGTTGTAAATATGACTCCAACCTCTTATCTATCTCTTATCTATCTTGCTTCTGGAGGAGTTTGTTGTTCTACCCCCCCAGTCTTCTTCCTCCCTATCTCTAATGTATTTCCCAAATTCTGTATTACATAAGCATGAGATTCCTTGTGTTTCTTTGTCCGCTCTTGGTTACGTGCTGCATGTCATGTCAGATGTCGACCACAGCAAAATAGAGCCCCTTGGCCACCTTCAGACTGTATTGTGTGTGAACTTTCTGCTCTGTATATACCAATGTGTATGTTTCTAAGGAACAGAGAAAATTGAGCATGCGTGGAGCAGTTGCTGGTTGTGTGGTGCTGGTGTGCCTGATGGCGCTGCTGGTTCAGAGGACGGAGGGACACATCACGTTCTTTAGCCCAAAAGAGTTGATGCTGATGAAGGTAAGCAGCATGTGTGCACAGCTGGGGCTAAACTAGAGCTGAAAGAATTGGTCAATCCAGACCACAAAATCAGTCATGATTTTCAGTCATGAATCAGCCGTTTAGCTCATTGGTGTATGATCCCAAACTTTTCTGAAGGTTAGGATTAGTTCCTTTTACATACTGGTAAACTGATTACTACTGTTCCTGAAAAACCAAAAGGCTCTGTGAAATAACTGAAAATATTGTGGAATATTGCCTACAGACTTTTTAATGTAGCAAATAAAGAATTGGCCTATTAAGTTTTTGTTGTTGTTTTTTTCCCTAGCAAATAACAGAGTAAGTACAGTCTATTTGTGTAATGCTTTTTAGTGACAAGAGTCACAAAGGATGAACAACATTTAAAAGTTAAAATTAAAATCAATGGAGAAGCATATTAAAACAGAATAAAAATAGATAAAAGCATAAATAACTAAAGAATGTCAACAAAAGGCCTCACTAAACAGAAAAGTTTTTACCTGTTTTTAAAGGACTCCACAGAGTTGGGTAAACAGAGCTGGAGTGGTAAACTCTTCAAGAGCTTTAGTGCCACAGGCTGAAAGGCTGTGTCTCTTCCTAGTCTTTAGTCTAGTATGGGGACCAACTGGTAGAGCTTGTGAGTGAAGACAGCAAGCAGAAGGGCGTTTAACAAGAAGTTGCATGTAAGTGTGGGAATTTTAAAACAAATTCTCGACTCAACTGGAAGCCAACATAAAGAGAATAAAATTCGGGTAATTTATCTAACCCGGTAAATAAGGTGTTACAATAATCTAGGTGTGGTGACACAAATGCATGAACAATTTTCTCTAGTTCAAAGGTGTGGACCATACTTTGCGATTTAGAAATGCTCCTTAAGTGAAAGTAACAGGAATGTGAGATAGATTTTATGTGTGACTCAAAGTCTGAGGAATCGAATGTTACACCATGATAACGAACACTGGTCTTCGCAGATGAGCGAAAGGAAGCAATCACTTGACTGATTCTTGAATGTATTTCAAGAAGAGCCATAATCATGGCCTCAGTCTTGTTAGTTTAAAACAAGGCAATTACCGAAGCCAGTGACTAATCTGTGATGAACAGTCAGCTAGGGTGGACATCTGAATATCATTAGCATAGAAATGATACAAATTCCAGAAAAAAATTGAATCAAAGATCGATGCATGCTAAAGGAAGGATGGAAAAGGAAAATAATCATGGATCCAGGATTGCACCTTGTGGAACCTCACACGGTAGAGAAACAGTCCAAGTGGAGAATTTGCTCACTCACTGAGCTTATGTATAGTTTATGGCATCACTTTCCTGCATTTTGACTGTCATTTTCACTCTTTTCTAGAATTTTTCAGTTTTGTAGTTCTTGACCCTCAGGAAAGATATAAAACAAAATTTAGATTGAAATGAACTGCGATTTGTTTCACAAGATGAATAAAGGTTATTTTAAACTGTGACTTAAAGACAAATTAAAAGAAATTTAAAAAAGCAGCTTGTCTCATTTTGTTCATCTATGCGTGCATGTGTCCGTGCTGCAGGAGCGAGAAGGGAGAAAGGACATGGAGCCTCGATCAGAGGATGGCCAGTTTGAAGAAGTCACCGTCCAACAGGTTCCTCAGACAGAACGTGGTGGAAATCCTGTGAGTGCTTGCGCACACAGACAAACAAATTGCCTTCACAACTAGTGTAATATTTTCAATCCAGTCACAGTTAAAACACTTTTTTAATTCAACATAAGGGATTATTTTTATGTTTTATTTAACCTTTATTTATACGGGTAGTCCAATTGAGACTCAGTGTCTCATTTATAAGTGAGACCTGTTTCAGACATTAACACTTATGTGTGCATATTCTGCCCAGGAGAAGACCGTGGAGATTTCTGTCCGTCTTTCACCAAAACAGCTGGATCACGTGACTCCAGTGCTCGAAGAGATCATCCATGAAATAACCCAGGAGCGTCAGAAAGGTATTTGATTGGTGCGAGATAATTGGTGATAAGTCACATTTTTGAAAAAGCCACAATATGATCTTATCTAAAGAACCTTAATACATGCATGCAAATCTTTGTTAATCATAATGTTCTCTCACTGTCTGTCTCTGCAGCAAAGTAACAAGGCTGATAGCATGAGGGAATGAACGCTGTATAAATTCTTCGAAAAGCACAGAATGATTGTGTCTTACTGAATTAATCAATAAAGGGAAGTGATTGTGTCACTCATTCTAGTTTGCGCTGTAATTTCTGTGAAAGCATGTTGGCTTGTTGGCCACAGGGTGTCAGCCTCTTTCCCAGGAGAAACTGATTCCTCTCAGACCTCAAGGAAATTCATAACCCTTTATAGCATGATGGTTACACAGATGTAATGCATATTCTGAAAAATCATTCAAGCTATTTAGGAATGATCCCAAGGGACACAGACACAACTTGTAAGATTTCACTAAATGTTCCTTTAAAAAGAAAGAATTGCACTGATTGGTCACTATTGGGTAAACTTTATTAATAAATACAGTTATTTAAAGAAAATGTGCATGCAAATTACTTAAGGCAAAATAGTAAAAATCAGACATTGTGGTGGCAGAATTGCATAGGCAGTAGGTGCAGTGTGAATGACTTTGGAATTTGACCCCTCTTGTTATCAAACCCTCCCAGCTAGTGGTTTCAGAGCTTTGATGTCAGTCTTTCGCAGAATTCAAAGTCCTTGACCGCGAGGGCAGCATCCCGAGCTAAAGGGATAGGCAGAGTCAGGGAACAGTCGCTATCAACATACTTTCCGGTTACACCCTCCAGCTCCTCTGCTACAGCACAATAGATTGTGCTCACTGCCCCTGCTTCTGGTGACTGAAAGGGAGATTAGGAAGGTGGAGAGGAAACATGAAAATTAAGGTCAACAAACATCCTTAGAGCTACAAATATGCAGCTGGAAAACATGTAATCCCAGCTCTGTTTTGTGCCTAGTTAGAGCCAGTTGTTGAGCACTGGATGACACTACAGATACAAGTCACAGATGAATAACTTTCCCTTACAATATATTGTAAGGTAATGTTAGGGGGTGCAAGTATATAATAATTCTGCCTCTACACACCACCACAGTGAATGCTAAGTCAATGTCCGACTGAAGTATTAATTCAAGGGGGTGAAAATCCTTGGACATTACCAAATGCACCAAATACTGCACTGGGTAGGCTCTTTAGAGGTTTTCTGGCAAAGCTGCATTTGGCCTTGCTAAAAGCTACCAGTGGTTTGTATTGTGCTGTAAACGTTCTGTATTTCTATTCCAGGTGTCTCTTGATTGTAGACTTTGACAATGATAGGAAAATGTAAAAGTCTGCACTTCAATCACTTCAGTTGTTTAATATGAAATCTATTTTGGTGATTGAGAGAGGTAAAGTTACAAAATTGGTGTCACTGTTCAAAAAGTTGTGGACCTAACTGTAGTTTTCTTTTCCCACTTTGCAGCAGATTATCCCATGTTTAAAATGTCAATATAAATGCGAGAACAGATGTATACATCAGAGAGACAAGGCTAAAAATGAAAAAGATGAGGATACAACCACAAGGGGAAAAAAGCAAAGAATAAGAACAAAGGATTCCTAAGATTCCTACAGCAGGAAAGCTTCATTTTATACTTAACCACAGATATGTGAAATGTTTTAGCGCTTGAACTTGTTATTCTAGTTTTAGCAGTTTGGTTTGTGCCATCATTGAAACCAGTCTGGATTTGGTATCTTATTTTAGTTTGGTTGCCTGTTTCAACTTACCTTGAAAAAGAAAAACCCAATAAGGTTGAAAATCCAACGGACCCAAAACGAATAGTGTCTCATTACTTCTGTCATCACAATACCGGGGTGGACGGAGTTTGCAGTTACATCTATGTAATGATAAAAGTACAACAAAAAACAACACTGAGACGGTCACTGAAAAGGTAAGCACTGAGGGTTTGATAGGATGTTGAGAAATTAATTTTATCCTAAGTATTAGAGGCTGGAGTGGGTGAAGCAGGTGGAGCTGGCCTGTTTTTGATGGTACAAACTGAAGTTCACAGTTTGTCCACACACTCCCACAGCCTCACAGGATGTAACATTCTGTAATGAAATAACATCATCCAACAAGTCACCGTTCAGCCTCTAATGATTGCTAGAGATTGACTTTCAGCATGATGCAAAAACTGAAAATGAAAGTTTAATACTTTCTAGAATCTAGAATCTCTCAGTATTTTACCAGCATATTTTATGAATATTCAAGGCCAGTTTCATCTTTCAGATTTCTTAGAAAAACAGACAAACTACTGTATAATGTATGGGGCAAACAATACAAATACAGAGAGGAGCAGGAAGCCCAACAAACAATGGTCCTATGAGAATAACTTTTAAAGACTGATCATCATCAGAGTGCATTATTATTTAAATCACATAAAGCCATGGCTTATGTGTATTTTTAAATCTGAATGTGATCATCATCCATCTTTTGTTACTGCTTCTTATTTTGTCATTTATTTTCTTTCAGTGCTCTTCCAATGGCAGAGATCCCTCCTGTACATTCATAATATTTGCTTTCCTGTAGCCTACCTGTGCCTTTTAGTCTGCGTGCTAGCTCGTTGGTACAGATGATATTGTGCAGCTTAGTGTTGTTGTAGACTTGATCCATGCAATAGCTCAGGTTCTTGCCGTGAAAATTAGAAAAGTCCACTTTACCCCTCTTGTGGTTGACTGAGCTGACGCTGACGATACGGGATGGAGACGAACTCTTCATCAGGTCTGGAAAGAATATGAAACACGTTGTGGCAGCAAGGATACGATGAGAAGAGGAGACACCAAAAAATGGCAGATATTTAGGATGACCTGACAATTGCAGGCAGTAGTGTATTATGCATTTCGTTTTCTCAACACAGTACATCCCCTGTGTTAAATAGACCCCACAGTCTTACCCAGCAGCAGGTTGGTGAGAAGAAAAGGTCCCAGGTGGTTAGTAGCAAAAGATTCCTCAAATCCATCTTTGGTTATGTTCCTTGGTAAACCTGATTGATAAAAAGTTAAATCCCTAGAATTAAAAGTTGATCTAAAAGTTGACGTCATAAATCAGACTAGGTTTTCTAAGCTTGATGTTTAACACAAGGCTAGCACACCGTGTACCACTCTCTGGTACTCTGTGTGGTGTTTTAGTACAACACAACTTCAGAAAGTTGGAACACTGCTTACATAATGCAATGATTTACAAATCTCCGCTTTGTTTGGCAATGGAACGTAGAACATAGTGGTGCTAAAAAGAAACAGATGAAGGAACATGGTAACATGAACGGGAATAAAAATAGCATCTTAAAGAGGCAGAGTTTCTCAGAAGTAAAGATGGGAAGTGTTGAAAATATTTGGCATATCATGAAATTAGCAGCTAGAATACTTTCAGACAAGAATGGGACAACATTCCTTGCCAAAAAGTCTAGCAGCTCCGCAGTTTGATGCATTCGATGTCCCCAGACATTTACAGACTGTTGTTAAAAGAAGAGTGGATG